GGAAGGTTTGCCATTCAGCATTGGCAGAGCGCTGACTGATCAGCCTTAGGGAGGGGAAATACACTCTCTCAGGTCTATGCATAGCTGCAATCCTTGCCACCACGGCTACATTCTTCAAGCTCATTGCACAATTATGGTCATAGAGGGTCTTCTTTGCTGTGGATACTATCTGCAAGCAAAAGTCTGAGATGTAAAAATATACCCACATCATGCCACTACCATGGGTCCTTCCACAAGTCTTTTTCCCTCATTCCCTTTTCTACAATCTTCCAAGTCGGCTTTTTTTATCCCTTTGTCCAAGCAATTTTCCACTGACCATGAATCTTACTTCTAGCCACTTCTCTTTCCATACAAAGTAACAGTCAAGAGTACTGCTCATGTTCTGCCTGTGGGAAAGATTTCCTTTTACCACTGTCTTCTACAGCCACCTCTACATGTATTTGTAGTCATCTGTGCATGGACAGTTAAGTACTGATATACTGGGCTTGTCTTTCTGGGAATCAATTATTTAACAGATCTGATAATACCCAATAGGACCTACATTTCAAATGGCAAGGAGTCTTCTAATAAAGATGAAATAGCCTTGCTTCAGAGCCCAGGGTGTCTGTGTTGTAACTCTCCTGTTGAGTTCTTACCAGAGACTTCATATACCATCCTGAGAGTTTGAATGAGATTGAGTCTATAAAGTGATTATTAAATAGCCAATACTGTGTATACGTTAAAGACTCTGATTTTATTTTTTCAACTTTTATTTTAGGTTTGGGGGTACACGTGAAGGTTTGTTGCATAGGTAAATGTGTGTCATAGTGATTTGTTGTACCTATTATTTCATCACCCAGGTATTAAGCCCGGTACCCAAAAGTTATCTTTTCTGGTCCTCTCCCTCCCCCTCCCACCCCCATCAGGGAGACCCCAGTGTCTGTTGTTTCCTTCTTTAAAACTCTGCCTTTAAAACCATTATTTTGATTCTGGATTATGAGTTGAACCATTAGGCTTCTTTTATTTGATGCCTTACAAAGGCTATAATGAATAGTGCTACAAAATTTTAGAAATTTATTTTTTATGTTTTGCATTTTCCCCAGATTTATTTATTTTTCAAATTGATACATAAATTATGTGTATTTATCATATACAAATAATGTTTTGAAATACACATACACACATATGCAGACACACACTGTGGAATGTTTAAATCTAATTAAAAATACATAACCTCACATAGTTATCATATTTATGGTGAGAATACTTTACATTGACACTCTCAGCATTTTTTCAAGAATATAATAGGTCATCATTTACTACAGTCTCCATGTTGTACAATAGATCTCTTGAATTTTTTCTTCCTATTTAACTGTAATTATGCATTATTTGACCAACATTTCCCCAACAATCCTTGCTTTTAAACCATCCACCTATTCTTTACATCTATGAGATCAACATTTTTAGATCCCACATATAAGTGAGTTCATGTGATAATTGTCTTTCTGTGCCTGGCATTTTTCTTTCAGCATAATGTTATCCAGTTTCATTCATGTTGTTGCAAATAACAAAATTTCCTTTTTTTCCATGGTTGAATAGTATTCCATTGTGTATGTAGATCACATTTTCTTAGGTTCATTCCATATCTTGGCTGTTGTGAATAGTGTTGCAGTAAACATGGAGTGCAGATATATCTTCAGCACACTAAATTCACTTCCTTTGGATATATGCCCAGTAGTGGGATTGCTGGGTCATTTGGTAGTTCTATTTTTAATTTTTAGAGGAATCTGCATACTGTTTTCCATAATGGTTGTCCTAATTTGTTTCCATCAACAACATGCTATGGGTTTCTATATTAAGTTTTCACTAAAGCCAGTTGATTCCCCAACCCTTTTAGTAACACTCTTTCTATTATTATGAAGAAACATATGGTCACAAAGACAAGTCCAAACTATTGAGGAGTATTACTAGACATTAAATTTTTGGTTGTCAAATCTGGCAAATCCTCAGAAGTATAGAGAGAGTGTATTGAAAATACAGGTATTTAGTCCTAACCTCACTAATTCTAATTCAGTAGGACTGAGGTAGAGCTCAGAAATATGTATTTAAAAAATCATCCAGGTGGTTGTAATTTTCAAGCAAGTTTGGGAATCCACACTTGGGAAAAACCCAGTCACCAGCCATACATCCCAGAGTCTCTTTTCACTTACACCTCTCAGGGAATAAGAAATGTCTGTGCTCAGAAAGGAAAGACTAATAAGACTAATAACGTGTGGCTCCCAAGGTGGCCTGCGTCACTCCAGTGCCCAAAACAATTGTTGGGACAAATTAGCCACTCAATAAGTAGTGAATGAATGAATGAGTAAATGAATAAAAACCTATCATATTTCTATGGCAGCGCTGTTCTTGAATTTGGTCGTTTTTCTTTGCTTTATTGGAAGCTTCCTGATAATACTCCTTCTCTATTTAGAGCCTTGATTCTTTATGTTTCCATTTAAGCTGGAATTTTTAATTCAAATATTTGAGCAAAAGAATTAGGAATTAACAAGACCAGGCTGCTACTGTACACTTCAATAAAAACATTTCTAACTCCTCATATTTTCCAACACATTTCCTTTTTAGAGATCAAAAAGTCTGAGTGGTAGGAAATAGTTTTACAGTTGATCCTTGAGTGGCGTCAACATTGTAAATAAGCTACTGATCATAACACATTTTTGTTTTTAAATGTGTGCATCCCTTTAATGATGGATATGGTTAGCTCTGTCTATTAATGACAGAAGATTGTTCCCAAGATTTGCAGAACCAGTTGGCTTTTGTGAAATATTAACATAAAAACTCTTCAAAATGTGTTTAGTCTTTTAAGAAGCTTTAGAAAAGAACCTTTCTGTACCTGTTTCTACCATTTCATTTCTTTTTATAGCAATGCTTCTCACCCATCTGTCTATTGATCCCTCATGTTAGATGTCAGGATGCTAGCAAGATTGGTTTATTCATCTAGCTTGTCTGCATTCAATGGGTAGATGATTTATTTGGCTGCATTTCATCCTGCCTTACAATATTTCATCTGTCTATTCCCAGTGAAGGTCTGGATTTAAAAATAACATTCCATTAGTGAGCATTTTTATAGAAAGTACTTTAAATACACCCTTTTATATATGGAGGTGCATGTACATAGTCTTACATTTTTTCCTTAGTACATAAAATTTTAAATTAATTTTAACAAAATAATGTAAGGACTGTGCCAAATGAATTAATAAAAGCTCAAACTCACTTTTATAAATATGTGTTATAATTTTTACTATTATCTGATCACTGTCTGAAGAAAGAAGATTACAGACTATAAATAAAACAGTGAGCTAAGTGAATTGTGAAAGACATTTCCATTGCAAAAACTCCTCTCTCTTTCTCTCCCTGTCTTATGCACACATATATACATACATATATACATAAATGCACATACATCACCTTCTAGTATAGCCAATTCATATAAATTAGTATTTCAGAAGCTTTATGTTACGTTTTGGCTTTAAATAAATCACTTCATCTAGCCAAAACCACTGACTTTTTCTTGGTTTCTACACAAAACTCTAATTCAAGTCCAGTTTCCTTCAAATTCAGTCCAGGTGCTAAAAATCCTCTTGGTTTTCCAAGGAACATTCAGCAGAATTTCTCTGTTCTGTATTCATATTTATAACATAACCTGTAAACAGTCCAGTATTTGGTATTTTCTGGATTAAAATGGCTCCATGGTGAATTTGTAGTCCATCAAATTCATAGACATTCACTTATAAATGTTTGTTTTCTATCTTAGAAATAAGTGATTATTCCTTAAGGATCTTGTTTTTTGTTATTTGCATTGTTTTGAATTCTGTAGAGAATAGGCATGTGTTTTAAGTTAGCAATAAAGATAATAAAAGCAAATAAATGTTTATTTAAATTTAGTTTAAATACCATCCAACATAAAAATGTTAATTCATAGTAAACTCTGTAACTTTTAGATTTTATGCTATTTGATATATATGCTTAGAATTCTAGATAATTTTTTAGATTGGGTCCTCAGGGATAAATCAGTGTATTTAACCATGTTTAGCTCTCAGATCTGAAATAATCAGTTCCCGTTCTTCCACTTTACTTCCTCAGCCTTACTCTTACATTTTGATTAAAAACAATGATCAGCAACAATGACTCTAGAAGTCAAGTTTTGTGCTTGGAAATGTAAATAGACCTTATTATAAGACCATAGCCATAGAGAGCGTCTAGCACCAATATGTCTGGATTCAAATAATTTTTCCATCGTTTACAAGATAACTAATTGTAAGCAAGTTAATTCTCTCACTTTCCTTCAATTTCCAGTCTGTGAAATGAAAATAGCAATAAACATTTCTAACTGAGAATGTTGGTACAAAGATTATATCAGGAAAGAAATACCTGGAACATAGTAAAACTCAGTAAACAGTACCTCTTCTAGATTTTGAGGGGTTTGAAAAATCAAGCAAATCAGTACTTTTTGAGTCATTATGATGTTAAACAGGTAATATGGGAAGAAAATTTCTGAATGATATAGATCTATGGTATATTTTCTTAGATTAAGTGACTTCTTAAGTATGGTGTTATCTTTGAGTAATTTTAGGGCAGATAATTAACTGGGGCTATTAGTTGCAAATTTCACTGTGTATAAGAATCACATGATTTCCAGTTAAAATGCAGGTTCTGATTCATTAGGTCCGAGGTAGGGCCTGAGATACACATTTCTAACAAGCAACCAGGTGAAGCTGATGCTGTTGGCCTAAGGATCACATTTTGAATAGAATATCAATTACCTTAACAATTTATTGAGGACATTTAAAAAATTAATTTACTATCCAATCTCATATACAATTATGCGCTGCATAATGATGTTTCTGCCAAAGTCAGGCTGCATATACGATCATGGTCCCATGAAATTATAACACTATATTTTTACTGTGTTCTACCTTGTTAGAGTATGTTTTACCTTCTCTATGTTTAGGTACTTAATAAATACTATTGTGTTGCAGTTGCCTGCAATAGTCAGTATTCAGTAACATGCTGTACAGGTTTGTAGCCTAGGAGCAGTAGGCTAGACCATATAGCCTAGATGCGTAGTAGGCTGTACCACCTAGGTTTGTGTGCATTCTGATATTTGTACAACAGAATCTCCTAATGATGCATTTCTCAGAATGTATTCTCATGATTATTAAGCTACACATGACTGTACATACCTTCCTGTCCTCTACTGGGAAATAGACTAACCTGATTGACACGATGCAGTTTCTAATCCAGTGGGCTTGAAAACTGGGGTATTTACATTTAGGACAAGCTCCCAAGTGATGCTGAAATTATTTGTCCAGGTACCACACTCTATGAAACATGGGCTTAGAGTCCTCATTGATTCTTTTCTGAAAATCAGGTGGCTTCTGGATATGCTCACTTACTTAAATCATAAACATAGCATGCACTACTGTTACCTCCGTAGAAAGAAGTTCAACACTGTTTGCTTGAGATACCATCCTGATGTTTTTGAATTTGCTTACCAAGTCAATGGAACAAAAGATCTCACTCATAATTGGGAGTTGACCAATGAGAACACATGGACACAGCGAGGGGAACATCACCCACCAGCGGGTGTAGGGAGTTGAGGAGAGAGAGCATTAGGAGAAATACCTAATGTCGATGACAGGATGATAGGTGCAGCAAACCACCATGGGACATGTATACCTATGTAACAAATCTGCACGTTCTGCACATGTATCCCAGAACTTAAAGTATCATAATAATCTCCTGCCCTTTTAAAGCAACAGCCAAAGATATTGCTTCCCCTTTTAAAACATCCCCAGATTCAACAGAAAGAGAAGCCTTGTTTTTTGTTTTTCATTAAGTGTAAATAAACTATATTCCAGAGGCATTAGTATCAAGATTACTTGGATCACTGGAAGAATTCCCATTGCCCTCACAATTTTACTGTTCACATTGATAGAGTCAGAAAACATCTGAACACTCAGTGTCATCACTAGATTTTCAGCATCAAGAACACTGTGTTTAGAAAGTAGTGAAGAATTTGTGCTTCACATTGAATAAAATTAGACTTGGAGGTAAAGAGCAACCAACAGATGTGTGTGTGTGGGAGATCAGCTGGATAAGGTTATTTGTTTAAACATCTAATGTCAAACTGGAATACATTTGAGTAAGTCATATTTTCCATGGTAACTTTTGCAACTTTAGAGGTTCTGTGGTCATGGCAATTAGAATGTGCATCAGAACTTTGCAAACAGGAAAGTCTCTGTCCCTTGAGTTCATTCTAGATTTTCCTAACTTTCTCCAAAACACAGCAAAAATGTCATACTCAGCTTCCAGGTTAGACTATGAATAATGCTCCACCCTTGCTGATGGTGTACTTGGGGCTGTCCTGGAAGGCATCAGTCTTTCGAATAGAGTGGTGGAGCCTATGGATGAGGTCCACCTGTGTAATTGGCTTTACATTTGCTGTCACTTCTAACAGAAAGCACTAGAACTATCTAGTGTTTCCCTTTGAGCACACTACTGCTTTCCTCAAAGAAACTAAAGAGATAGTGAATGACTAACGGCCAGAAGCATATCATGAAAACATTACATTAATAGTATTAGTATAAGAATCTGGACAAACTCTTAATTATCCCATCTGACCAACAGTAAGGAATCTTTTCATGGATCTGCTTGCCACTTTATCTCAACATTATAAAATAATGACATGAAGAGAATTGAAGCTATAAAAGCTGTATCTTAAAAATGTAAATTTAATAAACATCTAGGCCAGGTGACATGGCTCACACCTGTAATCCTAGCACTTTGGGAGGCCGAGGTGGGTAGATCACGAGATCAGGAGTTCAAGACCAGCCTGGCCAACATGGTGAAACACTGTCTCTACTAAAAGTACAAAAATTAGCCAGGCATGGTGGCAGGCACCTATAAGAGTCTAGGAGGCAAATTTGATCCCTACTTCCAGAAGGTGGTGTAGAGGAATTTAGTTACCTGCTCCCTAGCATTCATGTTTCTCACATATTAAATTCTAGTAAGGATTTCGCAGAAATAGATGATCTTTGATATTAGATGTGTTCTGATAGTTTTGGATTAGGCAACTGAGGTTAAGTTCAGGGCCATCGAAGCAAACTCCAGACTGACTGTCTATATGGCCACCTCTCGGGTGACTATTTTTTAATGTTAAAAAGACCAATAACCAATCAATAACTTTCCTTTCCTATTACTATACTAAAATTTTAAGAAAGTGTGTATTATTTCTTTCTTTACCCTCGGAAAAATTCTTTCAGAGAGCTAAATTGAGATTTGGGATAACAGAGTTTTCTCTAGTTCCAGATTACTTATCTTTTATTGCTTTGTTCAAAAAATTCTACACAGCTAATAATGTGTCCAGACTCAGTAAACGATTATAAGAAGGCATGTTTCTTTGCTTCTAGTACCTATGTGTTTGAATCTATAAAACTGCATATTTTTAAGCAAGGAAAACAATAATTTTCTCCTAAGGGGCATTCAAAATATGATGTGGAAGTTTTGTCATCTACAAATCCAGTAAGTTAGCCACCATTTGCCATTTTGACCAGGCACTATTGTAAATGTGTGTGAATTTTAGTGAATGTGTGTCTTTTGGCTCTGTTTCTATAAGTACGTGTGCATAGGGAACCTGTATCTGTTTTAATTTGGGCAACTTAAAATTAGATTACTGAGAGAAATCCAGCTTCCCCTCATCTCTCTCAAGATTTGACTAAGAAAGGCATCATATCTGGCTGCATCTTCCACCTTTGTTGGCTAAGATTTCAGCCAGATACTCTAAGAAATTATCTGGAAGATTTTATCTTAGGACCTTTCAAAATTCAAAACTCCCTTAAGAGAAGAGATATGGAGGAATAGTTCCTAAAGATGTAGCCTATTCCAGTGGAGACAAAAATGCTGGCTTTAGTTTCACCACTAGGTTTACTTGCACTCAAAAGTTCCCATTAAAACCCAGCTGGTTTAAATTTTGTCTGCAGACCTGAAACCCTGCATATTTGGCTAAGGCTTCCTATTTTGCAGTAAATGCTTCACAGGGCTGTAATCTGGAAATATTGAAGTGTACAAACCCTCAGCAGAAACAACAGGAGAACAGCTGTCTTCTACCTCCCCTTTCTCCCAAATCTACTCTTAAAGGCATAGGTGTTGTTAAGAGAGGGGAAAAAAAAAATCTGCCACTGAACATGAAATGTTATATGAAGCATCATTTGACTACCTTTATTGTTTGCTCAAAGCCAAAAAATAAAGATTAAAGAGTTGCCATTGATAAGTGAGGCAATTCACATGTTAGTATTGCTAGAGAAGAAAGGAGCATTTCAGATCATGGAGGGAAATAAAACAACAAAACAATACTGTTGCGATTTGAACGATAACAGCCTTCAGTATATGAAATCATAGTGTTATCTTTTCCATTTTCCACCCTTATACTTTCATTGGCTTCATACAATCCTCTTGTTGCCTATAATTGGGAATAAGGTTAGTGCCAAAGCTGCATTAAACAAGCAGTCTTTCCTTTATACTTTCTGTGCTTCGTGATTGTGTATGTGAAGTCATAAAAATCATTTATTATGAGCATGTGTATTCTTGGCTTAAAGAGCCAAGTATTCTTGTGACAACAATATAATAGCATCAGATGTATTGCCATAAAACACCATATGTGGGCACTTAATAGTTACTGCCCTGGCACCTACATGCTAGGATATCATCTTAAAGAGGGACTCCTTAGAAAAAAGAAAGTTTGGTACTTAGACAAGTAAAGCTCCTTGGATGAGGTAGGTGAGTAATGAGTAGAGATTTGTAAAGAATCCATTGATGATGCCAGAGTTCATCTTCCATTAGTATCAGATTTTCTCAACTCATCTGCTTGAGTTCCTTTCATGAGTCCAAGAAAATCCTTTACAACGTTGCAAACATCAATAAATATCTCTCAGGCTAAAAGTTGTAAGAATGTTTTAATATCACATTTGTAGCTAATAAGCTGTAAAAATGAGCACAACATAATTTTTATTCTGCTCACCCATTACTCTTTGGAAAGCATTTATTTAGGGCATTTTGTACAAATCATAGTAAACAAATTAGTTTTCAAACTAGTTAGAAGAATGGAGAGTGTGTGAAAGCTGCTGCATAACACGTACGAACCCTTGGTGATGTTTTGAGCCTCTGAGACAGATACTGCTTCCTATTGTCTCTGTCCTTTGTTCTAGCTTCTGCCTTAGGGTGCAATGGATTCCCTTGGTTGCCACTGAATCTAGAGACTAAGCTTTCCCAATCACAAATGCACTTCAAGTTTGCCATAACTCTGGGACTGATGTTCTACTACGGCATTAGCACCTGAGTCAGGTGCCCAGACACTTGCTATAGACACACGATAGTGTCTTTCAGAACAACTCAGTTGCCAAAGGATGCTACAGTCCACTAGTTCCTGACTGCAGGTCTGCATTAGTTGGAAGTGAAGGCTATCTAAAACAAGAAAAGACACATAATTCGGTAGGTAGGGTTTTCTCACTAGGTGACTCTTCTTAGAGATATACTGCTGCATGTCACTGGGGTCTGTGTAGGAAGATGCTACTCTTGATGTTTTAAATTTCCAGGCCAGACATGATTCAGTCCCTGCATCTCTATTCACTAGTTCTTTCTAGTATAACAGACAGTCTAAAACTTACAATGGTATTTTGTTGAAAGAACATATGGTAGCTATTACATTGAAAATGTACACTAAGCATATGTCTACAACCCTAATAGCTACTTCCAACACTTCCACACAACTGCTTCGACTCAGTCAATTTCTCTCACTGTTCTTTGGCCCACACTGCCATTCCAGCACCCCTACCCCAAAATGGAAATATTGTTCCTTTTAATTGTTTTTGTTATTTTAATACTGCCAGGTAGCCAAAAGGGAACTTTTGAGGTGGTAACATCTCTTACTGATCCAAATATGTTTTTCTTCAGTTGGTAAAACTGGCTTAGCATGTCTGGTTCTTCTCCACCAGCTGATTTTCAAAGGAGTTTACATGTTAACCATAGAACTCCCCGACCTCTCTCTCCTCCAGTCCTTCCCCCAGCTCACCTCAAAAACTATGAACTTCAATTCTACTAGCACACTATAATGTTGTTTATGATCTGATTTCTCTTTTTCATTTCCAAAATCATGAGTTTTTCTCTCTCTACGAGTTGTCTACATCCTGACTGTATAAATATCTTTAATGTTTTTTATTATTTTTTAAACTTTATGTTAAGTTCAGGGGTGCATGTGCAGGTTTGTTATACAGATTATATGTCATGGGGGTTTGTTTTACAGATTATTTCATCACTCAGGTATTGAACCTAGTACCCATTAGTTATTTATCCTGATCCTCTCTCTCCTCTCACCCTCCACCCTCCAAAAGATCCCAGCCAGCATGTATTGTTCCCCTCTATGTGGCTGACCATATATTGAAAGGGCACAGAAAAGGTTTTAAAATTATGGATGCCTAGTACTTATCTCTACTTTCCCCTTTCCCTATTAAATGAAAACCTACAGCAATAGAACCCAGAATCTTTCATTGCTCTGTAGGTAATACTTATGGTTTACTAGTAGTTATACTAGCCAAACATAATTTCTTAATTAAAAAAAAAGATCCTGTTGTATTTCTCCTTTGCTATTGTAAACAGTGCCACTACGAACATATGTGTGCATGTGTCTTTATAATAGAATGATTTATAATCCTTTGAATATATACCCAGTAATGGGATTGCTGGGTCAAATGGAATTTCTGTTTCTAGGTCCTTGAGGAATTGCCACATTGTCTTCCACAATGGTTGAACTAATTTATACTTGTACCAATGGTGTAAAAGTGTTCCTATATCTCCACATCCTCTCCAGCATCTGTTCTCTCCAGATTTTTTACTATCGCCATTGTAACTGGCATGAGATGGTATCTTATCTCAATAAAAAAGGATAAAAACATGAGGGCAAAATCTCAGTAACTTGCCTAAGGTACCTTCTGCAAGATACCTTACATATCTTGTCTCATTTAATCCCCACACACACGAAAAATAAGTATTATTATTCTAAAATTTCCTAGGATAGAACACTGGAGCACAGAAGAGTCAGAAAAAAAAAAGAAAAACAAAAGTAGAAATTTTAGAGCAAGGTTTTCAACCCATGGTTTGAATCAAAGGCTGACCTCTTTCTACTATGCTACACTATTCTTCACTACGCTCTGTTATCTATGTTTCCTAGGAGTCTATTTTTATTTCAAATTCTAATTATGTATTTGTGGGTATATGTAAAGTGATACATCAGCTGGAAAATCCACATTTACAAAAGGCGCTAATACCTCACACGGTAATGCAGTACTGTAAGAAGTTTATGAATAAAGGGAATGCGGCCCTAACTGATGTGGTATAATTTAAATCTCAGTAGAGATAGTGATGTTGCATCCTATACTTTTTGAAAATATGGTGGACTATAAATTAACACTGGTGCATAATAAAT